CTCTCCCCTTCCCCCAGCAGCATCTCGCCTTGAGGAAAGGACAGTCCAGGTCCCATCCTCACACCCCCTCCCCACTCCACAGGTTGCAGCATCATGGTGCTCCATTTGGCTATGGTAGGTGGAGGTAAGGGGGTGTTGAGATATGGGGAAGGAAGGGGATGACGTGGGGGGGTGGGAAGCATAGGAGCAAGCATGCGGCTCACTGGGGCAGTACCCTCTGTGGTGCCTACCTTGTTGGTCGGGTGTGGTCAGTGGATAGTGTGTGGCACGACAGTCGTTCCTCAAGTACCAATACTGGCATAACGTATAATGGAACCGGTCAGAGCCGTGCGCGCCGGCTCTGGTTGGGAGTTCCCTCCTACGACGCTTTCGCACGCGGGATTTGAGTCCTGGGCCGCCCGTGCACTTTCCACTGCCACTACTCGCCCCACAAGGCAGAGCCATGGGGGGTGCTGTTTCCGAAGGGGAGTGGGTTGCATGCTGCTCCTAGTGCTGGGACGAGGGAGGTGCAAAGGGGGAGGTGAAGCTAGGTGGTTAACTGGGATGGTGGTGGTGGTGGTGAAAGTGGGCCTGGAACTCCCTTGGTGAGTTGATTGAGCGGCGAAGGAGGGCGACTCAACCACCCCTGTCAGTTGAGTGGGGGGGAAAGGAGGGGCAAAGGAGGTCGTCTACGACTGCCACTGTAAGTTGAGTGAGAGGGAGAGGCGGGGGCTGAAACCAGCAGCGTAAGTTGAGTGCAGGGAGGGGAGAACAGGGGCGACTGCAAAGTTCTCTGTAAGTTGAGTTGTGGGGAAAGGAGGGAGCTGAGATCAACAGTGTCAGTCAACGGATGAGAGGGGCAAGGAGGGCCAAGGAGGGCCAAGGAGGGAGGGCCAAGGAGGGAGGACCAAGGAGGGAGGGAGGGCCAAGGAGGGAGGGAGGGCCAAGGAGGGAGGGAGGGCCAAGGAGGGAGGGAGGGCCAAGGAGGGAGGGAGGGCCAAGGAGGGAGGGAGGGCCAAGGAGGGAGGGAGGGCCAAGGAGGGAGGAGGGCCAAGGAGGGAGGGAGGCCAAGGAGGGAGGGAGGGCCAAGGAGGGAGGGAGGGCCAAGGAGGGAGGGAGGGCCAGGGAGGGATGGAGGGCCAGGGAGGGAGGGAGGGCCAGGGAGGGAGGGAGGGCCAGGGAGGGAGGGAGGGCCAGGGAGGGAGGGAGGGCCAGGGAGGGAGGGAGGGCCAGGGAGGGAGGGAGGGCCAGGGAGGGAGGGAGGGCCAAGGAGGGAGGGAGGGCCAGGGAGGGAGGGAGGGCCAGGGAGGGAGGCAGGGCCAAGGAGGGAGGCAGGGCCAAGGAGGGAGGCAGGGCCAAGGAGGGAGGCAGGGCCAAGGAGGGAGGGCCAAGGAGGGCGGGCCAAGGAGGGAGGGAGGGGGGCCAAGGAGGGCGGGCCAAGGAGGGCGGGCCAAGGAGGGCGGGCCAAGGAGGGCGGGCCAAGGAGGGCCAAGGAGGGCTAAGGAGGGCCAAGGAGGTCCTGAAATCACTGTAAGTTGAGTGAGAGGGAGAGGGGAAAGGGGGCCTGAAACCCCCTGGGTAGATTGAGTGAGAGGGGGCTAAAAATGGCAGTGTAGGTCAAAGGAGGGGCACAGGAGGGCGTCTTACTCCACCATCACTGTAAGTTGATTGAGAGAGAGAGGAGGGGGCTGGAACCAGCAGTGTTGTTCAAAGGATGGGCAGCGAAGGGCGTCTTCAATCACCTCACTGTAAGTTGAGTGAGAGGGCGACGAGCAAGGGAGCGGAGCAGGGGGGCCTGAAACCCCCTGGGTAAGTTGAGTGAGTGGGGGGGCGAAACCCCCAGGGTGAGAGTGATCTGGCTGTGTATGGGGCAGGGCAGCAAGTGATGGTGCTGCATGGAGTGCCTGATGCTGCCCTGCCCCTATGCTAGTCCAGTGATCTGCGCCCCCTCAGGTTCGAAGGGTAAGGTGGGGAGGGGAAAGGTGGGGAGGGTGGGGAGGGGAAAGGTGGGGAGGGTGGGGAGGGGGAATGTGGGGAGGGTGGGGAGGGGAAAGGTGGGGAGGGTGGGGAGGGGAAAGGTGGGGAGGGTGGGGAGGGGAAAGGTGGGGAGGGTGGGGCTGGGAGTAAATGGCGATGGTGGTGGTGATATAGGGGGCCTGTAACCCCCCAGGTGAGTTGACTGCTGGGCAACGGAGGGCGTCTGCAACCACCACTGTGAGTTCAGTGAGAGGGGGAGGAGGAAGGGGGCCTGAAACCTCTAGAGTGAGTGAGGTGAGGGGCAAAGGAGGTGGGCTGCAACCACCACTGTAAGTTGAGGGGAGGTTGAGGAGGAAGGGGGTCTGAAACCCCCCTGGGGTGAGTAGAGTGATGGAAAATGGAGGCGCCTGCAACCAACCACTGTAAGTTGAATGAGAGGGAGAGGCGAATGGGTGGCTGAAACCCCCCTGGGATGAGTAGAGTGATGCGCAATGGAGGCACCTGCAACCGCCACTGTAAGCTGAGTGAGAGGGGGAGGAGAGGGGGCAAATTAGAGGCGGTGAAATCCCCAGGGTAGGGTGAGTGCAAGGCAGGGGAGGGGCTGGAGCTCCCAGGGTAAGGCTGGCATGGGGCAGGGGGGGAGAGAGGGGTTGAAACCCTCGGGTTAGGGCGAGCATGGAACAGAGGGAACCCCCCTCCTCTGCTTTTGGTTCGCCTTAACCTGGGGGTTTCATCTCCCCTCTCTTGCCTCTCAATCGCCTTACCTTGGGAGCTTCAGCCCCCCTCCCGTGTCTTGCTCTCATGTTACCTTGGAACTTTCACCCCCAACTTCTGCCACTCCCTCTCCTTACTCTCTCCTCTGCCCCTACCTTTCCTTAGGGGGTTGATTTCCTAAGGGTTTCGCCCTGGGGGTTTAAGCCCTTAAAGCCAAGGTGGGCTAGAGCCAAGGGGTCTGAAACTCCCTGGGTTTTGTGAGCCGGTGGAAGTGAAGGGGGTGGAACCCCTAAGGTGGGTGAGTGCGAGAGTGAGGGGCTGATGCCCTGCGAGTGAGTGATAGGGGGGCTGAGAACTGATAGGAGGGTGAGTGGAAGGGAAGGGGGTTCGAAATCCCCAAGAGGGGAAAGAGGAAGGGAAGGGTTGAGCCTGGAGCTCCACATGATGGGTGGCAAATGATGATGCCCCACGTGTTGCATGCAGTAAGCCCTATCATGTGGGTTCGTGGGTTCACCCATTTCTAAGGTGAGAGAAGGGAGATGGTGGTGGTATAAATGGGGCCAAAACCACCTTGGGTGTGCTAAGAGAGGGTCAAGGGAGGGATGGCGGCTGCATCTACCACCTCAGGGCCTGTAACCCCCGGGTGTTGCGAGGTGCAGACAATGGGGGCTGAATCCCGCTCCCGCTGGGTGAGTGAAGCGAGGGGCAGAGAAGGCGGGCTGCAACCGCCAAAGTAAGTTAAGTGGGCGGGGGAGGAGAAAGGGGGACAGGCAAGGGGGGCTGAAAATCCCCCAGGTAAGTTGAGTGAGGTGCAGACAAGGGGGCTGTTCCCCCCCGGGTAAGTTGAGTGAGGAGCTGACAACGGGGGCTGTACCCCCCTGGGTACCGTAAGTTGAGGGGTGCTGAAAGTCGCAGAGTAAGTTGAATGAGGGGGAGGGGAGATAGGGGGGCTGAATTCCCCTGCATTAGTAGGGTTAGGTGCAAAGGAGGGGCAAAGGAGGGGCAAAGGAGGGGCAAAGGAGGGGCAAAGGAGGGACGGTGAAAAACCCTCGGTCAGGTGATGACTAGGTAGGGGGACCCCAAGTTATAAGGTGAGGTGCGGGAGGGGGTTTCAGACGCCTAGTGACAGGGTGATGAAAGGGAGGGGGAGGGGGGGGGAGGGGTGCGTTGAGACCCCAAGTTACAGGGTGGGGCATGCGAGGGGGTTTCAGACCCCGAGTTACAGGGTGGGGCATGTGAGGGGGTTTCAGACCCCAAGTTGCAGGGTGGGGCATGTGAGGGGGTTTTAGACCCCGAGATACAGGGTGGGGCATGTCAGGGAGGGTCTTTCATACCAGGGGGGTGGGTGTTTGTAGTTAGTGAGTTAGACGGGGAGGGGAGAAAGGCGGCCTGAAACCTCCAGGGGAGGGTGAGCTGAATGAGGGGTTGCGACCACTACAGATGAGTGAGCAAGTGAGGAGAAAGGCGGAATGAAACCCCCCGGGTAAGTTGAGTGAGAGGCTCAGCAGGGTGCTAGTCCCATATGTGGGAATTCCCCTAGGTGGAAGTCCCAGAGTACCCCTGGGTAGGTTGAGTGAGGGGCAGACTATGCAGGCTGAACCCTCATGGAGGGGTGGTGAAAGTCCCAGAGTATATCCTCCCTGCCCGCCATCGCCTGCAACCGCCAGCCACCACCCGTCACCACCCGTCACCACCCGTCACCACCCGTCACCCCCCGTCACCACCCGTCACCACCCGTCACCACCCGTCACCCCCCGTCACCCCCCGTCACCACCCGTCACCCCCCGTCACCGCCCGCCAACGCCCACCACCACCCGCCACCGCCAGCCACCGCCCGTCACCATACCTCCATACCACGATCTCACCATACCACCGTACCGCCACTGCCCGCCAGCGCCCGACCCCGCCCGCCACCGCCCGTCACCATACCTCCATCCCACCATCTCACCATACCACCGTACCGCCACCGCCCGTCACCGCCCGTCACCGCCCGCCACTGCCCGCCACCGCCCCTCACCACCCGCCACCGCCCGTCACCACCCGTCACCACCCGTAACTGCTGGTCACTGCTCGCCTCGCCACCACCATCTGCCCGTCACCGCCAGTCGCTGCTGCCTGCCGCTGTCCGTCCCTGCCTAGGACAGCTTTTTGCAGCGAATGGCAGCTCGTTGCTTGTTTCTGAAGTGCCAGCATGTAGACAGACAAAGTTCTTGTTCCAAGCATGGCCTGGCTCAGTCTTTGCTGGCGGAGGGAAAGGCGCCTTCAGAATTCTGGATATAATGCATCTTTACTGTATAATAGATATACAGCACAGCACACTGTCACAAATCGCTAGTGCTTTGCAAAGTATTGTCCAAGCTTGGCTTTGTTGACTCTTTTGTTTACTTTTTTTATGACTACCGGTAACTGTAAGCCCCCATGAATGGAGAGCACAGCTTGTGACATCTCACTGAATGCCTTCCTAATAAATGGCACAAGGAGCTACAACATGCCACTAGTATTCCCCCTGCAAACATTCATACTCGCCAGCAAATTCCAATGCTGCACTGCAGACAGTGTATCTGTACACCTTCCTCCGACCACTTGCGTCAGTTCCCACTCCAGTGCCCCTCCCCACCCACCTAGAAACACCACCCCAAAAGTAAGTACCAAGCCTTTTCAAAACGCCACCCCCCTCCCCTGTTCCCTCGCCCCACACGTCAACCTCTATCTCCATAACCGCACTGAAACTCTCCCTCCCCGTCGCATCCCAGTCCCCATCCCCCCGAGGCATCCACACCGCCCCGCTAAAAGACGCCGGAGGCGCACGCACGCGCAGCCGCAGGGCGGCGTTGGTCGTCTGGGCGGCGAGGGTGAGAGTGCCGGAGCAGGCGTGGATGATCGGGGGGGAGAAGGAGGTGAGGGGGTCGATGGAGCGGAGGTCGAGGGCGAGGTGGGGGGTGCGCAGGCCGAGGGTGAGGATGAGCGGGGAGGGGAGCGAGGCCACGCGGAAAAACGCCCCCGCTGCCACCAACTGGAGTAGTAGGCAGTGGGGGAGGGATTAGGGAGGGAAGAAGGAGCCGAGAGGGAGAGGTGGAGGGGGGGGGACAGAGAAAGCAAAGGGGGTTATTGGAAAGAAGGAGGTGAGGGGTTCGATGGATCGGAGGTTGAGGGAGAGGTGGGAGGTGCACAGGCCGAGAGTGAGGACGAGGAGGGAGGGCAGGGAGGCCACACGGAAAAACGCTCCTGCTGCCACCAGCTGCATAGGGGTTTCATGCAAGGGGGGGGGAAGGTGGGGGGAAATAAGGAGACGCGAGGGAGGGCATAGGGGTGCTGAAAGGAAGGGAAGTGGCCGGAGCAGGCGTGGATGGCCGGGGGGGAGAAGGAGGTGAGGGGGTCGATGGAGCGGAGGTCGAGGGAGAGGTGGGGGGTGCGCAGGCCGAGAGTGAGGATGAGAGGGGAGGGCAAGGAGGCCACGCGGAAATACGCACCCGCTGCCACCAACTGGGGTAGTAGGGATATGAGGGAGGGATTAGGGAGGCATTAGGGAGGGAAGAATGGGGCGAGAGGGGTGGGTGGGGGTGCAAAGGTGCTTTGAGGAAAAGCAGGAGAGAAGTCAGGGCGGAAGTGAGAGAAAAGGAGAGCTGACAGCGGTGCGTTGGGGGGGTGCCATTGTATCATCCCTCTCACTGTACGGTTTCATCTCACCTGTACGCTGTTGTCAGACGACATGCCCTGCGTCCACACATGGCCTGCAGGAAAGTGCGCCCCCCAGTTCTTCTCCTCGTGCGCCCACCCCATCCCCTCCACCTCCACCCCCTCGGATTCGTTTGAGAAACGGTAGGAGGCAGTCGATCCCAGGCTGCAAGGGGAGGGAAACGAGGAAGAGAGGAGGTATTGAAAGCACATCAACCACACATGGCCTGCAGGGAAGTGCGCCCCCCAGTTCTTCTCCTCGTGCGCCCACCCCCTCCCCTCCACCTCCACCCCTTCTCTCCCATTCTATAAGTGATAGGAGGCCGTTGATCCCATGTAGCCACTACTTTCACCCACCTATTGACGAACCAGCAACAGGGCAGCTCGCCCCACCCCCCTGGAATCAGCTGAGAGAGCGACGCCGCCCACCCCTCTGGGCCTGCCCCTGGGTGGGAGGGGTCCCAGTGGCGCTGCAAGCAGGGAAATGAAGGGAGCTCAGCAGAGGGAGTGGCAGCGCATGACACGACACCCATGCACCCCACCCCTCTGGTCCTGCCTCTGCATTCCACTGCTGTATGATTAAAGCCACAGGAGACCAGAAACGGATGACCCTCCATCCTGCCCTTCCCCCCTCCCTCCCCACAACACACCCACCTGGTTGGTGAGGTTGGCTTGCATCCTCGACCCCCCGACACGAATGTCCACTGCCGTGTGGTTAAAGCCACGGGAGATCAGAAACCCATGGCCCTCTGCCCGCCACTCGAATACGGGCGGGTCGGCATCACGTGGGTCGGAGGAGACAGGCCTGGCGGGGTGAGATCCAACAGTGATTCTGGGAGGCTGGGGGGGCGGAAACAGGGACACACGCATGGAAGCAGGGGCACAACGTTCTGGTTTTTGAGTCGACTCAAAAGTCAGCTCGGAAGACACAGGCCTGGCGGGGTGCGACCCCACTGTGATTTGGGGTGGGTGAGGGGGGCGGACACAGGGGCACAGGACGCGGGGCGATGAAGCCGCGGGAGACCAAGAACCCGTGGCCCTCCGCCCGCCACTTGAGTACACGCGGGTCGGAGGAGCCAGGCCTTGCACGCTGCGATCCCACCGTGATTTTGGGTGGATGAGGGGGACGGAAGCAGGGGCACACATATGGAGACAGGGGCACACATATGGAGACAGGGGCAAAACGAGCGGGGCATTGGGCCAGGGAGAAACACAGCATTTCCTCAAGAGGAGAAAGGGCCTGCACGTTCAAATCAGCATTTCCTTTCGAATAACCTCAACCCATTACCCAATCTCCCAACTCACCTACCCCTACCCCCTCCTCCCCTCCTCCCCCCCCCCCCACTCACCGCTATTTCCATCTTCTCAATCAGCGTCTCTTCACATGCACCTGCTCCAGGCGGTCCCGCCGCTGCACCATGCCCCAGCAAAGACTCAAAGTCGCCACCCTCCACAGACCGCCCATCTCCAGCCGCGCCCATCGCACACGCCCCTTCCTTTGATGCCCCTCCCAAAAATGCTTCTCCCCGTTCGCCCTCCGTATCTCCCACCCCCTGTTCCTGCTTCTGCTCCTCCTGCTCCCCCCTCCCCCCTTCCCTCATCACCCTCCTCCCGTCCCCCGCACTATAACTTTCTTGCCCTTCAACCGCCTCCTGATGCCGGTTCACCTTCCCCCCCTTAGGGTGGCAGCTGAGCAGCATCGCTATAGAGCGATTCGCTACAGGCATGGAGCCGATGATGGCGGCATAGCTGCCTCCTGTAGAGGGGTCCACTACTCGCACGTACCATCCCTGAGTGCGGAGGCGAAAGAAAATACGAGGGTTAATTCTATATGCGTTTACCATTTGTTTTCCAATATTAATTTAAAATCGGCAGGTGGACCCCGCATACCTCGAACCAGGAGCAAGGGCGGCCACGTGTCTGCCAGATCGGCGAGCATCGCGCCACGTGTGGGCTGTGCGGGCTGCTGCTGACGTGGATCGGAGCGACGATGACGAGGACGACCGCAAGCAGCAGGTTGCGGCACACCGCAGCGGATGCAGCGCGGAGAGAAGGTTGCGCCACCATCGTTCAAGTTGATCCGCTGGCTCACTCGAGTGTGCGATGTCCTTTCCCGAAGCGGCAGACTGTAAATCTGTTGAAAGAAAAACGAGAGTCTGATGGGGATTCTCAGCCGGAGCTGATTCGCGTCGCAAAGCTCGAGAACGTCACGCGCTTTGCTCGAGAAATCGCCACAGCTTGGAATCGCTTTTGAGTCGAAAACTAGTAAGAACCGCTTGGCGGTTCAACCTGAAGTGACTTGGAACGCAGAGGTAAAGCAATGAAGAGAGAGCAGAGAAATATAGCGAAGGGCTGAGTAGCAGCAGCGAATCTGAACGATGGAACACGGAGTAGCGAATCTGAACGCCTCTGGGTACTGTATGAGAGAGAGAGCGCTCACACCTCTTCGTTGAATCAATCACGGCCCAAGTTGTGTAGGAGCCGAGCCACACCCCTTTCCCCTCGGCTCGCGCATCATACTTCCGCTCGTGTGTACATTCTATGCGCCATAGTAACCGCCGAGGCTGGAAACGTCGCATCGCGGGTAAGCGACGAGATTGGCGAATTCCTCGTCCGCAGCGATCGACTGACGTCAGCCGCTGATGGTCGAGCAGCAGAGCAGTGGCGTGCCTGCAGCACTGCAGACAGGAAGGAAATGGCTGGAATTCCCTCCTCCCCAGGCTGCAAGGAATTCCTATCACCTCGGAAACATGAAATTCCGACAAACCTCGATATTGCCGGCCGAGCTGAACGAGACATAAGTTGGCGGTTGCATTGCGCTCGACCATCTACAGTAAGTTGGAAACTTAATGAGAATGTCAATCCTACTTCATTGATTGTGACTTCGGCAGTCCTATAGGATGTCAATCTCACAACTGACGCGTCTGGGGCTCTTCTTACCGAGTACAGCGGATTGGTGGTGGAGAGTGCAGCACGTGGTCTCCCAGATCGCAGCTGCCCCTCGCTGTCGTTGCGCCACGTCAGCTGCGCCACGTCGTCGCCAGCAACACCTGCCAGAAGCAACACTTTCCGCACAGATTCACCCGGAAATTTCACCTAGAACATTTGGGCATTAGTGTCCTAAATTGACTGTCACTATATTACGATGGACACTTCAACCTCTGGCGGCTCTGAACTGTACTACTACTAGCAGTTTGGGGAACCCCTGACGAATTCCAGCCAACTCAGCCAACGCAAGACTGAGGCTGTTCTACTAATCAAGACCGGCCCCATTGCTTGCACTATGGACTCATCGCTGCTCCTCCCCCGTCCATCACGTCCGTTCACTCCGTCGCAATCAACGGTCAGAAATGCATTTCAGCTTAAAGCAAAACCGTCGTCGTCAATCTCCCCTTGCGCCCTTTCCGCCAAGCCATTCCCACGGAAAACCGCCAGCGCGCGCACTTGTGTCAGCGCAGCAGCAGCGCGGCCGGGGGGGATCCCGCCGCGAGAGGTAGCGCATGCCGCGCGCCAGCGAGGGAGCTGCGGTAACGGGGGGAGCGCGGGAAACGGGGGCAGCGGGGGGCGCGGAACAGTAGCGGCGGCGTCGCTGAAGCGGCCACCAGTGGGGCTGGGGGCGGAAGGCGCACTGGCGGAGGAGGTGGCGGCGGAAGCGGTAGAGGACCTGCTGGGGGAAGGGGAGGGGGAGGGGGGGACGAGCGCGGCGGTTGCTGACGTGGCAGGTTCTGAGTCCGACGTGGACGGACCCGTGGTAGAAACGCGGTGAGTGATTGTCTGGTGAAAGGAAAGCGGAAGGGAGTGAGTGAGTGAGTGAGCAAGTCAGTGAGTGAGTGAGCAAGTCAGTGAGTGAGTGAGTCAGTGAGTGAGTGAGTGAGTGAGTGAGTGCGTGAGTGTGTGAGGGAGGAAGTGGGTGAGTGAGTGAGTGCGTGAGTGTGTGAGGGAGGAAGTGAGTGAGTGAGTGAGCGGGTTTCGCCCGACCCATGGGAGCTACTCCTGCCATCCCCCTCCTCGTCTCTCCCCCATTGGCTCTAGAGGGCCCACGCGCTCAGCGCAACAGTGACCGCGCTCAATGCGCACAGAGCCTGGACCATAACGCCTCCCTCCCTGCCACCGCCCACCACCTGGAATTGGCGGGGCTACTCCATCCGCTACCAGACCTCCGGGTCTCAGGGCCCACCGATGTTCTGCTCATTCCCAGCTTTGGCGCGCCAGCAGCCACCAGTGGAGGCACAACCTGAGAGCGCTAGGGCCGCAACCCCTCCCCACTTCTCTCCCGTGTCCCCCCTCCCCGCCACCTAGTTTTGAGGCGCCTCAAAACCAACCTGAGAGCGCTGGGGCCGTAACCCTTCCCCAGCTCCTTTCCGTATCCCCCCTCCCTGCCACCTCCCAGCACCTGGGCGTGGCGTGGCTACTCCATCCGCTACCAGACAGCAGGCCTTCAGGGACCCCCGGTGCTTCTAATCCACGGCTTTGGCGCCAGCAGCGATCACTGGAAAAACAACCCGAGAGCGCTGGGGGTTTCGGGGCACCACGTGTTGCCATCGATCTGCTGGGGTATGGGTACTCGCCTCATCCCCTCTCTCCTCTCTCTCCTCCCTCATACCCCCCTACCCCCTGCCCCCAGCACCTGGAGTTGGCGTGGCTACTCCATCCGCTACCAAACCAGCGGATCTGTCGGCCCGCCCATTCTGCTCATCCACGGATTCGGCGCCAGCAGCCATCACTGGAGGCACAACTTGAGAGCGCTGGGGCCGTAACCCTTCTCCACTTCTCCTGTATTCCCCCTCCCTGCCACCTCCCAGCACCTGGAGTTGGCGTGGCTACTCCATCCGCTACCAGACCTCGGGGTCTGAGGGCCCACCCATTCTGCTCATCCACGGATTCGGCGCCAGCAGTGATCACTGGCGGCACAACCTGAGGGCGCTGGGGGTTTCGCACCGGGTGTTTGCCATCGACCTGCTGGGGTATGGGTACTCGGACAAGCCCACCCCGCCATACCGGATCAAGGGGCGAGAGGGGCAGGAGGGGCAGCAGGGGCAGCAGGGGCAGCAGGGGCAGCAGGCGGTGGCTGGGAGTGATGCGAGTAGCGCAAGTTCAGAGTTCACGTTTGAGAACTGGGGCCAGCAGGCCGTTGACTTCGTTGACCAGGTGGTGGGGGAGGAGGCCTTTCTAGTCACCAACTCAGTGGGAGGTAAGCTTGCACTGACCGGAGGCTGTTGAATTCGTTGACCAGGTGGTGGGGGAGGAGGCGTTCCTTGTCACCAACTCCGTGGGAGGTAAGCTTGCTTGCACTGACCAGAGGCCGTTGACTTCGTTGACCAGGTGGTGGGGGGGAGGCCTTTCTAGTCACGAACTCGGTGGGGGTGAGTGAGTGAGTGTGGTAAGTGAGTGTAGTGATCGATGGTATACAAGATCTAAGTCTGGCTGTGCCAGTGCTGCTGCTAGTCTTGCAACCGGCCAAGCACGACGTTGACTTTATTGCCCAGGTGGTTGGGGGAGGAGTCTTTCTTTTCACTAGCAGGCTGTCCTGCTGCCCTGCTGTCCTGCTGCCCTGCTGCCCTTGAGTTTGCAGGGTATTTTTTAGAATTCTTAAAAATTCCCGGCACCTCTGTGGCCTCTGTTTCTTGTTTCCTCTTCCGCCCCCTCTTCTTCCCCTCTCCCCTTCCTCCACATACCCACACCTCCCCCCAACCACAGGAGTGGTAGCCCTGCAGGCAGCAGCCTCCCACCCTGCTAAGATCCGCGGACTGCTCCTCCTCAACATCTCCTTGCGAAACCTCCATCTGAAAAAACAGCCCTGGTTCGCGCGCCCCTTTGTGGCCCTCCTCCAATCCTCCCTGCGCTCCACCTCCCTTGGGGAACAATTCTTCGCCTCTGTCGCCACCCCCCGCGCCGTGCGTAATGTGTTACGCCAGTGTTACGGCGACCCTGCCGCAGTGACGGACGAGCTCGTGGATTTGATTCTCACGCCGGGGCTGCAGCCGGGGGCGGTGGACGTGTTTCTGGATTTCATCTGCTACTCGGGGGGGCCTCTACCTGAAGACTTGCTACCAAAAGTACAGGTGAGGATGGGGGACGAGTTTTGAGGCGCCTCAAAACTAGGTGAGGATGGGGGACGATCGTTGTGAGGCGCCTCAAAACTACCTGATGACTTTCTACCTGACGGCTTTCTACCTGACGACTTTCTGCCTCACGTGCGGTAGGTCTTGGAAAATAGTGAACAATTACCAAGCCCGGCCGGAGTGTGGACTCTTTGTGGGTTCTTGGACGGACGTGGGTTCTTGGACGGAAGTGGGTTCTTGGACGGACGTGGGTTCTTGGACGGAAGTGGGTTCTTGGACGGAAGTGGTTTCTTGGACGGACGTGGGTTCTTGGACGGACGTGGGTTCTTGGACGGAAGTGGGTTCTTGGACGGAAGTGGGTTCTTGGACGGACGTGGGTTCTTGGACGGACGTGGGTTCTTGGACGGACGTGGGTTCTTGGACGGAAGTGGGTTCTTGGACGGACGTGGGTTCTTGGACGGAAGTGGGTTCTTGGACGGAAGTGGGTTCTTGGACGGACGTGGGTTCTTGGACGGACGTGGGTTCTTGGACGGAAGTGGGTTCTTGGACGGAAGTGGGTTCTTGGACGGACGTGGGTTCTTGGACGGACGTGGGTTCTTGGACGGACGTGGGTTCTTGGACGGACGTGGGTTCTTGGACGGACGTGGGTTCTTGGACGGACGTGGGCTCTTGGACGGAGGTGGGTTCTTGGACGGACGTGGGTTCTTGGACAGACGTGGGTTCTTGGACGGACGTGGGTTCTTGGACGGAAGTGGGTTCTTGGACGGACGTGGGTTCTTGGACGGAAGTGGGTTCTTGGACGGACGTGGGTTCTTGGACAGACGTGGGTTGTTGGACGGACGTGGGTTCTTGGACGGACGTGGGCTCTTGGACGGACGTGGGTTCTTGGACGGACGTGGGTTCTTGGACAGACGTGGGTTCTTGGATGGACGTGGGTCCCCCACCATGCATCCCCCCCCACGCATCCCCCCCATGCATCCCCCCCATGCATCCCCCCCATGCATCCCCCCCATGCATCCCTCCCCATGCACCCTCCCCCCCATGCATCTCCCCCCATGCATCTCCCCCATGCATCCCCCCCATGCAACCCCCCCCCTTGCTTCCCCCCCCCATGCATCCTCCCCCCCATGCATCTCCCCCCACGCCTACCCCCCATGTGTCCCCCCCCCGCAATGCGTCTCTCCCCACATGCATTCCTCCCCCGCCCCCCATACATCCCCCCAATGCATCCCCCCCATGCATTCCCCCCCATGCATCCTCCCCATGCATTCCCCCCCATGCATCCTGCCCCATGCATCCCCTTCCATGCATCCCCCCATGCTTTCAGTAAGGCAGACAACTCACGGATTACCCTCGTATGGTCGGGTTTAAGAAGTTGCCAATCCCACCCTACGTCTTTTCTCCTCACTCCTCACCTCTCCTCTTGGCTTCTTCCCTTGCTTTCTCCCAGTGCCCCGTGCTTTTCAGGTGGGGCCAAGCAGACCCCTGGGAGCGGGTGGAGCAAGGAAGAGCACTGAAGGACTACCCCTGTGTGGTGGGCTTTGAGCACCTGTCAAGCTTACTCTCCCACCATGCCTGCTCTCTCTTTCCCCTTTCCTTCTCCCCAGTGCCCTGTGTTGTTCGGGTGGGGGCAAGCTGACCCCTGGGAGCCAGTGGAGCAAGGAAGAACGCTGAAGGACTACCCTTGTGTGGTGGGCTTTGAGGAGTTTCCGGGGGTGGGCCATTGCCCCCAGGACGAAGCACCTCACATTGTTAACCCCCTTATAGAGCGATTCGTGTCTCAGTACAGCACAGTAGACAAGTGAAGGATTTTTTTTGGGGTGAATTTGAGTGGGCAAGGGTGTGGGGGTCACGTCACCTCCCACAGCATGTGCTGTTTAAACATCATTAATCCTGCTTAACCCAGTATTTTAGCATGCCGTTACTGCAACGAGGCCAAAGCATACAGCGAGGTGGTGAAATACCGGTAGATTAGATGGGCTGTGATCCTGTTATCCAGAAGGGACGAGAGTCTTGCTGCAAGCACGTTCTCTCGCTCTGCTATTATCACTTCATCCCCCCCCCCAAAACCGGCAGCCACCCCAGCTCAGGGCCTCTCAACCACTGAGCAACTACACAGCCAGTTCATGTACCTATATTAGATTGGACGAATTTCGCCTATAAACAAACCGGACAACGATCCGATCAGAACCATGCCTAATAATTAGAACGCCTAGGATCTTAGAACCTAGCATACAGGCCTAGTGAACAGCGGCTTGGGCCACCCGCGGGAAAACTGCCCGCGAATTGCCCCCTCGGGATACATATCCGTCACAATCGTCGCATAGTATTTGCCCGGATTCCGATCAATCATTTTCACCATCTTGTAAACGGACATGCCTGTACCGGGGATAATGACGCTCGGCGCGCGCTTGTAGATGCGCTTCAGCTCCAACTGGTCCTCGTTTCGTTGCGTCCACGTGCCCTCGATGTTCCAGAACACGTCACCGTTGGTGCCTCGCTGCCCGAGGTTGATGGATTGGTTGAGGGGCGGCATCGGAAGGGAGAGCTCGTGAGTGTTGTAGCTGATATGCACGTCCAGCCCGCCTTGGAACCTGCGATGCGCCCATACGCGAGCCAAATAGAAACAGGGAGGAAAAGAAGGAAACACGCAAGGTTGAGTTGCAGCATCTGGAGGGAGCGATAGTGCGTGTTGTAGCGGATGTGCACGTCCAGCCCGCCTTGAAACCTGCAATAAGCCGTTGAAAGAAGTACGTAGAGAGAAGGGGAACGATGAGGGAAAATCGTTGAGTGGCGGCATGGGGAGGGAGAGCTCGCGGGTGTTGTAGCTGATGTGCACGTTCAGCCCGCCTTGAAACCTGCGGAGAGGCCGTGGTAAGCACGTAGGGAAACGGAAAAGAGTGGATATAGGTTAGTGGGTAGCATTATCCCCGTTATGGAAGGGAGAGCTCGAGCGTGTTGTAGCTGATGCCTACCCTCGCGATCGACGCTCAGGAAATTCTTATGGGTATGGGAGGACCCAATCGTGCTTGGGTAAGGGCTCGATTTCGCCGTGTTTCGTTACTCGTTATCGCATGAAATTTCTACAGGTGATGTCAATCTTACTTGTACACGTAGATGTTGAGGTCGCCGTTGCCGCCGAGGTCTCCGCCGAGCGACGAGCTGATGACGTTGTTGTCCTTCAGATCTACGCGCAAGATACCTGCGAGTGACAATAATTGTGTGGGAAAAGTGGGCGGAACATCCGGGGAATCGTTATTTTATTATACACTTAAGTAGGGAGGTCGTCACGGGTCTGCGCCGAGTGACGAGCTGATGACGTTGTTCCCCCTCAGATCCACCTGCAAGATACCTGCGCGTGACAATAACGGTGCGGCAGCAACAGCGAAGGAACAATAGCGGTGTCAACGGCGGCGCGAGAGCATGGGAGTAGTGCGGCGTAAGTCGAATGAATGAAGGGGGGAAGGCGGAAGGCGGAAGGAGGAAGGCCATCTGAGCAGAGCGACCGACAAGCCGAATGCGGAAGGCTGCATGCGCCGAGCTTCTCTGCGCGCAGAGAGTCTCGCAGCGGGCAACGAGAATCTCACGAGACATAATTCTGCCAAGCTTCTCTTGAAAATTGCACAAGGGGAAAATGACGTACATCTCAGAAGCCCTGGCGGTGGGGCGACTCGCTCGACGGGTCCGACGCCGTTAAACGCGGCGGCTGTAGCCACGAAGAGCGGTAGTAGAAGCAGCAGGCCTGCGGACGGCAGCAAGGGTACGGGGTTAGCGGGAACGGGGTTAGCGGGAACGGGGTTAGCGGGAACGGGGTTAGCGGGAACGGGGTTAGCGGGAACGGGCGATGCGACTCTTAGCTCGACTTAAAGGGCGATGGTATTGAAGAGGACGATTGAGAGGACGGTGGTACTGAGAGGACGCGGATGGCATTTGAGTGATTTTTTAGTCGACTAAAAAATCACTCAAAAGTTACTGAGAGGATGCGCAGGTGAGGACTTGGAAACGGTCGAGTAGCCGCAACGGCGTTTCGAGACGCAGAACAAGAGCGCGAGAGCGACGGCGCTATCGGCGTTTCCACGGTACCTTGAAGAAGTGTGGGATTGGCCTGAGACGCCATTGTCTGCTAGTCAGCAGCTGTTGCCGTACGTGTGATTTGAACAAAGTCACAGGTAGTGTCGCGCAAATGGCGGTTTGTGCTCCGGGTTTGCTTCTAAATTCTAGTGCGTATTACTGATCTCTGACGAAATGGATTACGGATCGGTGGAACTTCTGTACGCGTCGACCAGAAATGCAGGTGGCTGGCTAACCTTTCATATGCACACGCCGAACCTGGTTTAGCGTATCTCCAGCTCAATTGCGGCTCTATGTGTTGGAGGGAAACTTGATCCAGGAAATAAAAGTGGGACTCGGGGGAGTAGGATGTAGGATGCGGGAAAATGGGAGGCGCAATTTCACAACAATTACACTTCTGCATTTTCCCCCACTCTCGCCCAGTGTCATTGAAGAGAATTCGCGCCCATTGTTACCGACGCGACACGACACGACGGGTGCACCCTGTTGTGCGATGCTTTCAGGTCAGCAATAGAGGCCTGTCGGCGACATGAGCGTCGCGCACGTCGCAGCTATTTGCGATTTATTGTGGGGTGGTGTGCCCTGCACTTGTCGGCACGCATGGCGAAATCTGTTGCGAAGGTCTGTCGACCGGCAATCACGTACAGTGCGACGAATTCAGTCGGTGATCAATATCGCACACTGTCGACGATCTTCTTCCTTGTCGGTTACCCTTGTGCTGCCAAACCGGGATGCAATTCCATACAGCGGATATGCCATTAGGTCCATGATATTGTACTCCATATTATACTCTAACCTCCGGTATTCGATACGATCCACCACGATGTACTCCTTCTGTACGGTATACATCTACTGTTAAACTTCGCTAAAAAGGCGCAATAAACATACTGACCAGTCACGACGGTCGCATAATGCCACCGACCATCGACGCACGCCACCCGAATTGGGCGCGATTTCAGCATCCGAGCTTCGCCAACCAACCCGCGAGATCGAGCTCGGAAAATCCCCGTGAATTGTGTTCGGTATTTCCCAGCCAATACGCGCTTGCCAGGGCGATCCTACGTAATCACGACGGACCGTGGGGGCGAACACAAAATTACAAACAACCCGTTAGTACCCCCGTCCACCTGGCACTTTTGCCTGCGCGCTGACACAACCATGCCTACGTACCCCATCGGCAGATGCGGCCGACAGAGGTCGAATTTACAGTCCGCCAAATCAGCCTCGAATCACCAACCCAACTTCATTGCCGGGCTCAACCGGCTGGTCACAATGAGGTTACTCAGGAGGACATCGCTGACGATTGCTATGAAGGTCAGAATCTGCCGACATGCTGAAACTCATGGTCACCTTCGACTCGGCGACCTCGCAAGGTGGTGTTTCACCAGATTTTGTATCTATCCCGACCCCAGTACCGTGGGGAAAATCCTGAAGGAGGCGGCCAAGTGGAAGGCTCTTGGGCTTGAGAGCTCCACCAATCGACGTCTGCATTCTGCCTTCTACCCACTGCTTGAGCAGCGCCTGAAGTCATGGTTGGGCCCATCACTGCGACAAAGGGTGGGCTGCCCATCACTATCGGCGTCATCCCACAACGTGCCCGGATAATGGCACCAGACGCCGGCGTTCCAGTTGGATTTAAGGCTAGCGTGGGGTGGGTGCAGAAAGCATTGAAGCGGATGGGATACAAATGGCGGCACAGGCAGCGCGAAGCTAACGACCAGGACCTTGGCGCAGTAATGACGACGAAGACCACTTGCCCGGAGCTGCTCACTCTGCTCGGTATTGCGCCGCGCGACTGCTTCAATTATGACGAAACTGGATGCCCTTGGAAACAGATTCTGAAAATGACTTCCGTTGACGGCCTTGTGAGTGGCGGCAAAAACAGGAAGGATCGCATAACCGTCACGCTGCAATTATTCACAGAATTCATCAAGCACATCAATGCCTGATGTTTCGCCAAAGGCCACAGCATCGTAATCCTGCTCGAAAATGCTAGCTGCCACAACCTGCTGTCTCCGCTCGCCACATCAGCTGACATCTTAGGCTTTCGAACTCGCACGCTCAGCAACGTTTGTCTCGTCTTTCTTCCGCCCAACACAACCTGCTTCATGCAACCGTTGGACCAGGGGCTCATCGCGACGCTGAAGGCTCGGTACCGCACGTTCCAGACCCTCAACATGTTCCGCGAATGGGAGGAGGTTCAGAGCGAGGGAATGTTGTTGCAGTACAAGCCCAACATGGTGCTGGTCATAACTTGGCTGTCGGATTCGTGGTTCTCGATCGAGCCCAAGACCGTCCAGAAGTGCTGGTGGCAGGCGCGTATCCTCCCTGCTAGCTGGCTCGCGAGACTCCCCCTGGTCGGCACCACAGCCGCTGAGCAGGAACATAACTTGCCCGACGAGTTCCTGCCAGTCGCGGCGAATTTGGAACGGCTGCCCTGGGGCAACGAGGACCGCATGGATGCGGTCCAGTTCGTCACATGCGACAACGACGATGAGATATGCGACCCAAGTAGCGAGGATCCCCTCGCTTTGGAACCTCTGGGCTCCCCCGAATACGGCGCATGGTATCTTCGTGCCCCGGCCATTGCGCAGCCCGTTCATGATTTGTGGAATCGCCGGCATTTCAGCCGCACGGCGACCGAGCTGCTGGTCGGTTATGCGCGGTCCATCGGGCTCATCCCCATGGACCTGCGCATTCTGTTCGATATTCGAGACCCCACCGTCATTGATCGTCTCGAACGCGCATCCCTTCGCTTTGACATAAATGTCAAACATATATATAGGTTATGTTTGTATAGACTGTATAGGTTTGTATCTTAGAGGGTACAACACTTAGGCTTATACCCTTGTACGTTTTTCTCTCGATATTCAATCCTACGTTAAGATGGTATCACGCTTGGTAGGTAGGTCCTGCCGCCCACGCTTCCGCCCTAGGCCCTCATCGCGCCGCCCCTAGCCCGTCGCGCTTGTTCCTAGCCGGCCCCCTGCGTTGTTCGCGCCCGTCCTAGCCGGCCCCCTGAGCCGTCGCGCCCGTCCTAACCGGCCAATTAGTCGTTCGCGCCCGTCCTAGCCGGCCCCCTGAGCCGTTCGCGCCCGTCCTAGCCGGCCTCTTGAGCCGTTCGCGCCCGTCCTAGCTGGCCCCCTGAGCCGTCGCGCTTGTTCCTAGCCGGCCCCCTAAGCCGTCGCGCCCGTCCTAGCCGCCCCCCTGAGCCGTTCGCGCCCGTCCCAGCCGGCCCCCTGAGCCATTCGTGCCCGTCCTAGCCGGCCCCCTGAGCCGTCGCGCCTGTTCCTAGCCGGCCCCCTGCGCCGTTCGCACCCGTTCTAGCCGGCCCCCTGAGCCGTCGCGTCCATCCTAGCCGGCCTCCTGAGCCGTTCGTGCCCGTCCTAGCCGACCCCCTGAGCCGTTCGCGCCCGTCCTAGCCGGCTTCCTGAGCCATTTGTGCCCGTCCTAGCTGGCCCCCTGAGCCGCTTGCGCCCGTCCTAGCCAGCCCCCTGAGCCGTCGCGTCTATTCCTAGCCGGCCCCCTGAGTCGTTCGCGCCCGTCCTAGCCGCCCCCCTGAGCCGTCGCGCCCGTCCTAGCCGGCCGCCTGAGCCATTCGCGCCCGTCCTAGCCGGCCCCCTGAGCCGTTCGCGCTCGTCCTAGCCGGCCCCCTGAGCTGTCGCGCCCGTCCTAGCCGGCCCCCTGAGCCGTCGCGCCTGTTCCTAGCCGGCCCACCTGCGTCGTTCGCGCCCATCCTAGCTGGCCCCCTGAGCCGTCGTGCCCATCCTAGTCGGCCCCCTGCGCCGTCGCGCCCGTCCTAGCCGGCCCCCCTGAGCCGCCGCGACCGTCCTAACCGGCTCCCAGCGCCGTCGCGCCCGTCCCAGCCGTCGCGCCTGTCCCACCCGTCGCGCCCGTCCCTAGCCGGCCCCTCGCGCCCCTGTCGCGCTCGCCCCTTGTTGGCCCCACGCCCTCTCCTAGCCGGCCTCTTCACACCCGCTCTGCGCCGGCACCGCGTTCGTTTCGCCGCCGCCCACCTCCGACTCGTGCCCGGCTCGTCCTTCCCGACCAGAACCGCCAGGCACCGCTCTACACCACACAGCACCGCACTATACCGCACTATACCGCTATGCAGCACTCTGCATCGCACTGCACCGTACAGCACTGCGCCGCTGCTGCATCGCTCCTGATGGCGGACTCCGTGCTCCGCTTCGACGCAGAGGGACAGCCGATCGAGTTTGACACGTGGCTGGTCGACCTCCGGCGTCACCTCACTGGTCAGCGGCAAGACGGCCACTCCCTGGCGGTCCACCTTGACGGTACGCTCCCCTGCCCTGACCCCCCGACTCCCCTGCCCGCTGACCCCTCGTCCGCTGACCGTGAGTCCGCTACAGCTGTTGCCCTTGCCCGCTCAGTTTGGCTGTCACGTGACGCGGTCGCACAGCTTGCGATCAGTCATGCCCTCTCCCTGTCTGAGCGCCCACGCTTTAGGTCAGTCACGACTGCGCAGGAGTTTCTAGAGGCCGTCGTCAAGCGCTATTCCACCATGCCCGCTGCCTCTGTACGTCGCCTGATCCTGCCGATGCTCTTCCCTGACCTTGAGTCCTTTCCTACTGTTGCTGACCTAGCCGCTCACCTGCGCACGATAGACGCGACCTGGCGTGCTGCCTGCACTGAGACCCAGCTTAGAGCCTTTCAGTCGCCCCTCTGCTCTGCCCTCTACCTGCTTGCCACCCGCCTCCCTGATCGTCTTGCTACTGCCCCCGACCACTTCCTTAGCACCCACCCTGGTGACCTCACTCCCACTGACTTTATCGACACCCTGACTGCCATAGAGACTCGTCAGCGCTCTATCGCCCAGACCAGCGGTACTTTGCCGGTCCCTATCTTTCAGGGTTGTGCCCCCGCTCAGTGCACCTTCTCCGACGGTTCTGTCGCTGTGACTGTGTCCACAGCTACAGCGAAGATCCGTTCCGGAAAGGCCGCCGCCCCAAGGCTGGGCGCGGCGGTGGGGGTGGAGGTACAGGTGGAGGTGGTGGTGGAGTCGGGTCGCCTAGTGGTAGCGCTGACGAGGGGACCTTGACAGGTGCAGCTGAGCAGCCGCCTGAGCAGCCGCAGGTGTCGCAGCCGCGCACACACCAGCCGCAGCAGCAGCCCTCGCACCAGCCTCAACAGCCGCAGCAGCCGCAGTTGCAGAGGCGGGCGAGTGGCCTCCCGCCTGGGTGGCCTGACGCTGGTGGTGGCGGTGGACGTGGTGGTCGTGCGCGTGGTGGGCTGCCGGGTGGCGGTTCGGGTGACGCGCGCTGTCAGTA